CACACACACACACACACACACACACACACACACACACACACACACGTCTAATTTCTTCTTTCATCTAATGCAAACAGATCACGTACACTTGATATAGTACGGTCAACTTAGTGAGATATACATCCTGACGCATTGAAAGTGTAGCGAGCGCTTCTTCCATTTATGTATAATACTTTTTCGACATAATATATGGCATAGCGTGAGTAGACTCGTAAGAGGGAACGCATTAGCGTTACAAATAAAGTAACTTTTCAGAAAATATATAATCATTGGATTTAGATGTAATTAATCCCCGATGGACTATTGTACAATTTATCGTGTAATGTACAACGCATGTGTTACAGTTACGAGTTTTCTAAAACGCTTTTAAACGATCTTTAGGATTAAGGACTAATATTGTACAATATTATTGATCATTTCAATTCAAAATAAACAGTCTCTTAATACAGCTTCTAGACGACAATTAATATTGTGCAATAATATTGATCCAGGGGCTATATTGAGCTTGTTTGTTTTAAATTGTTTAAAAGGGACATCACTGTGTTCAGCAGAAAAAAATAGCTTTGCAACTGGTGCAAAATTCTGTAACATGGTTTATACATTTAGATTTAGGATTAAGGAACTAAGAATCAATTGTTTACAAAAAAATTTTTACAACAGTTTCAAAGCTGCTTTTTCTGCTAGAAGCGATTGAAAATAATGTATAAAATAATTGTACAATAATATTGAGCGTTTAGGGACCGCTTTAGATTCGTCGCGTGAGATTAGTATATGTAAATAATGCATGTTTGCAAAAACTCAATAACTTTCTTTCGCGATTAACATATGTTATCGGATTTTCATCGCGTCGTGTCGGTCATTTTCTCATCCTATGATATGAATGGATCCACCACGTTTCCGAAAGTCCGTATAAACAATTGATATATATCCCGATTTTCGTTTATTTCCTTTCTCTTGCGATTCTCGTTCGGGAAGACCGGTATAGATCAATGATCGATTCTTTTTGGGAACGACGATTTGTGGCTGTAGCTGACAGTCGACGATTTTCTACGAGTCAGTTCGAAAAAGAAACACAGAAACACGTGGTATACTTGCGTTCTCTTCGAAATGTTCCGCGGAACAGCGCTATTTATTGGTACATCATTTGCGGTGAAAGCGTTTTGTATAATCAATCAAAAAAAGAAAAAGAAACTTTCAAATTAAAGATATATCAAGCGATTAGCGCTTTAATTCTTTTTGCCGCGAGGTACACTTTCTCATCTCGACCGAGAAATCGGCATTTCTATGAGTTAATTACTTTAAAAAAAAAAAATACAAAATAGAAGACTAATTCATTAATTACAAATGAATTCTTATTTTACTTAGTTTATGAAATTATTCTCCTAAAGAACAATTTGTTCACATTCTGCACATTCTAAAATCATTCTACTAACAATAAATAGCAAACGGTTGGCCGTTCTAAAACCAAGCTCTTTGTCGGTGTAAAAAATGTACTATTTAAAATCATTAATTTTCGTAGTTAATCTGCAGTAGTTAAAGTGCACGACTCGTAATTTGTGCAACGTTAGATTGCGCACATTTCAGATATTAGCACCCTGTGATATATGAGCTCAGCACAG